TATTATTACTCTTTACTATTAATTGAAGGTTGTTCAGCTTAATTTATTAGTGTCATGATTCACAAAAATAATAAATTAATCAAAATTAGTATTCTGATATGGTATGTTACCTCTTCTCACATAACTATCTATGCTCGTTCAGTGCTGCCCTCTATTTGAAAAATAGTTTTTTCACATGAAACAAGCCTTGAGCTCCCACGTACATTACAATCAATTCATTCAAATGTGTCTCGCACATAAATCCTCATGCGACAACCCTCCACCAATAAGAGTGCGACACTCTCTCTTGACGCAGGTAAATCCCTCTATTCAATTCTACCGAGCTATCACTTCTTGTGTGGAAGTACTCATGTCAAGACGTTTTCTGTTGTGCTCTTCAAATTTGTTCAACTTTGTGATTTTTTTATTATTATTCCTAAGTGAATTTTTGGTTTTTCTTTGTTTTTCAACAGTTAACGACTTTTCAGATAACTTATTTTCCTAGTTTTTCTTTTTTTTCCATCAAACAATTGTGTTTGATTTTCATTTTTACACAGTGTATTCCGAAGTTCAAGTTACCACTTTGGAGATCATATTTTCTACTAGCACACTACCACAGGATACAGGTGGAGGGGAATCTTCTTTAGATTTATCAGATATCATTCGGTGTTTGATTGTTATATCAATCAACCTGCTTCTCCTGATCTTGCCCCTATTCTTCATGAATATACCGAACCTGTTTGGGTCAATGAGGATTTTGACAGCTTTTTTCTTCCACCTGATTTGGCTGTGTCTTCTAATGCCCCTACTCCAGAATCAGCTAGGCCTAATATGGCTTTTTTAGACATGATTTATCAGGTATGTCATATTTTATCCATTTACCCACTTTTATATGCTCCCATCCTTTTTTTTACGTGATAATTTTTTCTCTCAGTATTTGGACCCCCCACCTTCCCCAGATATTAGAGTTCATGCTAAGCATTTTGTTTCACAGATGGTTGAAGGTAAGGGTTGAGAAGGAGCAGGACAGAAAAACAGTGATATGGGCATGTTTAGGCTCAGAATGCAGCAAACGATCCACCAAAGAAGAAAGGTTAGTTTGCTATCACACCGACTCCACACTGGATTTCAAAGTATCAGGAATATTAATACAAACATGCCACTGAAAAAAAAGGTTCCATACGTAAGTCCTGGAGATAAGAAGGTAGTAAACGAACCTTGGACAAGGCTGTGTCTCTCCCAAAGAGATTCCAACAACAGAGAAACCACGTGTGTAAGGCTAGAGCCGAAGAAGACAAATGTGCCAACGTGGAAGTAGTCGGGGAGAAGCAGTCCCTTGAAAAATCCTCAGAATCTCTGTGGATCACTTTGGAAAGGAGATGAATAGTAGACAAGGATTGTAGGAGAGTTGATAGGGTAAGATGAAGGCAGGGAAAATTGGGTGTGGGATAAACGAACAGGATGATCATGGTCTGCCCCACACACAGGCAAAATTGATTCTAACTGTTGAGAATCGAGAAACGGACATTCAACCTGAAGATAGGCCAAGGCAAACTGATATGAAGACCATGGAGAGCAAGGTATGCTGACACCCCCAGAGGTTCTTCATCTCATTGTTTTATTCAATACATATGGTTTATTTATTTATAATTAAGCACAAAGCTACACAATGGGCTATCTGTGCTCTGCCCACCATGGTGTATCGAAGCCCGGTTTCTAGCATTGTAAGTCTGCAGACATACCGCTGTGCCACTGGGGGCCAATATAAATGGACACATTGCCAACAATACAGATGGCTACCAGGTGGGTTCTGGTCCAGTGGGGGCTCACTTGTTTGATTTTGTTCCCCTTTGGCAATTTTTCCCCACAGATCTTTGGGTGATATTTGGGTTTTATCTGAGAGACTTGTTATCCAATTTCTTTCCACTCCTCCATTATCTCAGTCACCAGTCTGAGGCAGTACAAGATCTTCCCTCCCAGCAGGCCATCAAACCTGTCAGTCATCCTTCTCCAGGTTTTTATTCCAGGTTGTTTGTCGTACCCAAGAAAACTGGAAACTGGTGGCCTGTGATCGATTTGTGCCACCTCAATTAATTTTTGGTTCTGTGCTGATTTACCATGGAGTCTTTTCTTACCCTCAGGTGGCTTTTTCTCTTGTTCGTGGATGACCAAGGTAGACGTCGCAAATGTTTACTTTCATATTTCGTTACCTCGTTAGTCAGGACACTATCTTCGGTTCATTCATCATGGGGTAGTTTATCAATTTCCCACCCTGCCTTTTGGGCCTGTTTTGGCCCTGTATGTCTCTTGTTGGGTGATCAAGGCATTTGCCCATCATTTACATGCTTAAGGGTTATGCTTACATCATTACATGGCTAATGGTTTCTGTTAACTCGTTCTAAACAACACCCATCACACTCATTTGCTGCTCTTGGAGGCAGCTCGTATGAAGAGGTCTCTCAATCCTCTTGTTTCCAGTGTCTATGCCCTCAGTTTGGTACTTCTCACCTGGATGAGCTTGCCACATCCTTCAATACCATATTACCTCTGTTTTGGTCTCTGGTTCCTCATCATTGGCTGTCGATGCTTTCAGTCAAGATTGGACCCAACAAATACCTGTATATTTATCCTCCCATCCACCTTCTTCACAGGGTGATCTCAATCATCCATGCCACTCTGTGTCAAGTCCTTCTGATTGCTTTTTACTGGCCGTGCAACAGTGGTTCCTGCAGCTGCTCCAGCTCTAATTTGCCCCTCCATTATCTCTTCCTCTTACTCCATCTTTTCTACATCAACCTCAGTCACCGGCATTTCATCCAGCCTTTTTTGTCCTCCATCTTCATGTCTGGTTTTTATCTGGTCCTTTGCGATGAGATCCGGTTTGTCCCAGTGGGTCACTTCTTTTTTAGCTTTTTCCATTTGCCCTTTCTCTAGGGATATTTATCAATGTAAGTGGAACATTTTCTGCCTTTGGTCGTTGGGTCAGAGGTTTTCACCTGCTAGACCCACAGTTCCTCATATTACGGATTTTTTTCATTGGCTCTTTAATCAAGAATCTTCTGTCTCCTCAATCACAGGTTATCATGCTGATCATCCCACACTTTTTCTTGTACCATAAAGTTTTTACCTCTCCTACCCTTTCCCTCTTTTTGCGTTCATTCCGGATTGGGATGTTAATGTTGGTCTTCACTGCCTCCATTTGAATGCTGTCCTCATGCTCAATTTTGCACTTATCCCTTAAGACCTACTTCCTTCTCCTCATAGCCTGTGTACGTCATCAGTTGGATTTATTTGCCATTGACGTTTCATGTACTCTGTATCATTTGACATATATTCTTCTTTATCAGGATCAATCTTTCCTTCCCAAAACTTCAGTGGGTCAGCAGAGTAATTCCTTCTCCTTGCCGATTTCCCTTCCTTCCATTTTCCACCTCTATGCCAGGTTGGATCTGGATAGGCTACTATGTCCTGTCTGTGCTCTTCGTTGTAATGTTGCCAGCATGGCTTCTTTCTGTGGCACCCGTTCCTGCCTATTCATTCCTTGGCTAGACGCCCTCTGTTTATGAGCTTTCTCCTTCCATCGTGACCAATTGTTGTTTTTTTTAATTTGATTGGCTTATTTTTCCTTATCGTCTTCTTCCCATAATTTGTTCCAGGTGTCTTCTCATCAGATCAGACACCTTACCTTTTCCCCTGTGTCTCATCTCCATTGTCCCTTTAAGGAAATTCTTCAGTCAGGCGTGTGTACTACTCCACATACCTTAATATCTATCTATCTGCATCAGATCGCTGTATCTTCATCTTTGGGTTTTCGTCTTCTGCCTGTAGCCATTCTTCTGAGCTCTGTGAGACTGTGACTGGGTAAGTTACTTTTTATATATATAAATATGTATCTTCTTTTTCAGGGGCATTTCCCTTTTCTTCTTTTTTACTGTCTAGATCCTGCTATGTGGTGAGTGGTGCCTGACCAGGTGTGCTTGTCATAATCAAATCTGCACTGTCAGGCCATGTTGAATGCTTAATTCTACTTTCCATGGCCATAGCATGTGTACTATTGAGATGGGTTGTTTCACAAAATCGCTTGTAGATTTGTCCTCATGATATACTTGCTTCATAAATATGCCTGTTCTGGACTTCATTAAATGATAAGGATATAGTTTCCCATCCCTTAGATTGAATAAATTAGGTATTGTCTGCTTTTCAAAATAGGGTTTTCATGGTCACCCATTGCACCGTCTCTGATGTCGTCATACCTCCAGAATCTCCACTGCATTCCCCTCCCCCTCTTTTCTTCCAGTGGAGTATGGGAGTCCTTCCCACTTCCAAGCTGCTGGATTGGTGGACCATGGAGGCATCCTCCTGAATGTGATAATGATAAACTATACATATAATGAAAAAATATTCAGTTTAGAGTAGGGCAGGAGAACAATGGTGGGATAGGGATCCGAACCACCATATAACAAATCTTAACCACACAGAGTACTGGAATGTGGGTGAAAGTAACAGGATATGATCTAAGGTGTAGAGTGGTTCGGGCACGATGAACCATACACTAAAAGTCAACTGCATCCAAAACCCAGGCTGACAGGAACCGACATTTACGTGGGAGTAGGATGAGGATCATGCCATCAGTAAGTCAACTACAATACAAAACTCAGGCCACCGAGAACTGACATCCACATGGGGATAGGAAAGAAAATCAAACCACCGGTAAGACAACTACAATCCAAAACCCAAGCCACCGGGAACTGACATCCATGTGGGAGTAGGAAAGAGGATCATACCATCTTAACCTCAAGTTCAGCAGACCACAGGGAATCCCATACCCCCAATCTATGAACAGGACACATGAGAGCAATGTAAGAAAGTGATTGACCGATCTGGGAACCCAACAGTTGGACAATTGGTATTGTAAAGATGTCTATGTAATGTAAACATCTCACTCAAAACCAATCTGACAGGAACCACCCCTAGCGCAATAACATCCTCTGTATAATAAAAGATGGAGCATTAGACCATCATATCATCATCATTCCCATAGGGATGTGCTCCTTCCTTTTTTCTGCCAATGTCTGTGACACCTCATTCCAAACTGGGTGAAGAGTATACCTGGTACAGATGTGGTGCAGTCTCCTCTCCTATGAGGGTTTATTCTTTTAATGTGTTCTTTGGATGCTTTCAAAGAATGCTGCTTTGTTTTTCTCTTGCACCATATCCTCCACCTATTCATTGTGGGATTCTAGCTATTTATGTGAGAAGAGGTTAGGTACAGTATTCGAAGTTATAATTTTACTATACTAAAAATGTATTTCTGATAGGTACTTGCCTCCTCTCACCCTTCCTTCCCTCTGCCAAAACTCGAAGTGATAGTTCGGTAGAATCGAACAGAGGTAGTCACATGCGTGTGTTGCACTCTTATTGATGGAGAGTTATTCCATTATGAGTTACACACGAGACACATTTGAAGCAGTTGATTATATAGAGGGCAGCACTGAATGAGAATAACTGAA